TACCTATTCTTCTACAAAGGGAGAGGAAAACATTATTTTCTGTTTCTAACCTGAAGTGGCAGCATCTGCACAAATAGTTCACAAATTCTAAACACGGCTTACTCAGTTGAGCTCTGCCTCCTCTGCTAGGTAATAATATGAAAAGGTTTCTATGAAGGGTTTCACACTTTCTAAACAAAACATACTCTTCAGCCAACAAGTCTATTTACAGAACTACTCCAACGGCTGCTCAAAGCTCTTCCTTCCTACAGCCCACAAACCTCCCACCAACTTCCCTGACAAATGCAACAGTTCATGTTCAAGCCCTGCAACTTCAGTATCCCACAGGTTATGCTGAAAATTATAAAACTGTACTAAAAAAAAACCAAAAAACCAAAATCCAAGCAGTTTTCAAGTCAGGTGATCAGAGAAGATGGTTTTACAACACAGATTAGAGATTTTTCTGTTTTTCCACATGCTTGCTGCACAGTCTTTGGCCATGAAATTCTCTCTTCATCATAAAGATTTAGAAAGTGCACCTGTGCAGCTCTGCCTGTGATTCACCTACCAGATTTCTTCAGCACAACTGGTGACCAGGTGAGAAAGCAACCACAGTATCATTCAACGACTTTGCAAGGCGGTACTCTGAGGAATACACAATGTTACACAATACAATACAGAGATGCACACCCATATTATGAGCTACAGACACCAGAAGGCATGGCATTTGAGTGTCATCCTTGGGTGTGAGAAAGGGCAGAGCAGCCACTAGTTCTCCATAAGTCATCAGGAGGATGACTTTGAGATAAAGACCAGAGACTTGTAGTTAGGATGTTCACCATCTGGGTCTGCTTTTTCCAAAAGGCCTCCTACCCAGTGTAGTTTTTGGACTGTGCAGTTTATCTCAAATTAAGCATGAGTGATGCTGACCTGCCTCCCAGAGATGTTATAAAGGGCAACTTGATGGAAAAACACCAAGGCTACAGTGAAGGAGCAACTGTGCAAGACTACAGTGAAGAAGCAGATCTGTCTTGTTTATTACTCTGCAAGTTTACTGCAGTTGAACAATTGCCCTCAATATATATAGGGAGATGCAAAAGAAGGCAGAGCTTCCTGAGGCAAAAAGATGGGGTGAGAGAGCCCTGTTCAAGGCACAGGGAGGTAAGAAGGGGCTGGAGCAGGATAGCAGCACACAGTCCATTTGAGCTTAAATAGGAAGGTCATCAACAATTGATTTTCCATTTGATAGTCTAATGAATGATAGTTTAGAATTCAGCGTGCTCCACTCTATAACGTGCTTTATCATGCTTTCATAATTTTTTCTAGTCACTCTCTCTGAAAGCACATGGTGGCAAAAGGCAAGAATGCAGCCCCAAGAGCAGGCACGCTGAAAAACAAAGCTTGTGGGGAGCATGAGGAAAAGGCAGCCTAGGGAAAATGGTGCTGAGAGTCAGAGGTGGAGTGTAGGGGGAAACAGCATTGTAAATTTTGTCTGGAAACCATGATTAATAAATTCTGTTTTTTCACTAGTATTGGAGAAATTAAGGTCTTGAGAACTGAAACTTTCTAGTCCTGCCCAACCCCACAAACTCAGAACTGGAGTCAAGAGGAAGCTGTGCTTCTACACAGAAAAGGAAGCTTAATAATTTGGGTTGAAGATATGAGTGACGGGATCTCCTTTCTTTTCTATTAATGTTTATGTATCATTATTAACAACCCTTGTTAAAAAATATTGATGTCACCAGCAGAACTGAAGTTTAGCTCCAGTATTTATTTTTCCTTCTGTGTCTCTAATCTGTCAAAACTCCCAGCTTGGCACATTGTAATTTTCTAAAGCTGAGTATTTCCCTGTTGGGACCAGGCCTGTTTATTTCTGATGCACTGAGCCCAGCACCCATGAACAGCAGCAAAGACACCATGGGCTGGCAGCCACCAGTGGTACAATACTGACAGAATATTTGCTAATTCTCTCTGATCATGTCACTGCAGCAAGTTGAAACAGGTTTCAGGGTACTTCTATTAATTGTTTTCTCGCAGCATCAGGACAAATAGTACATATACACCTCACTTGGGCTCTGTGATTTTTTCATCTTTGCTGTCACACTGATGTCTCTCCATGTCTGTACTCCTTGGAATTCCATCAGACATCTCAGGGCATTAATTAGCAGTGGCATGATGATTTCTGGGATTTTCAAGGCTATTTCTACCATCTCCATCCCTGGAGATTTTCAAAAGCTGGCAGGAGAAGGTCTTGACCAATCTGATCTATCTTTGAATTTCTCCTATCTTAGGCAAGAGGGTTACACTAGAGACCTCCAGAGTCCTTTTCAGTCTAGATTGCTCTGTGATTCTTTGATGTCTACTTGAAAGCAATGGCATTTTGGCCTCAATTAGAGTTGCTTTCAAGACTGGGAGATCCACGCCTTTAACTGCAGGCTCAAGGGGGTAAGACTCACAGATTAAAGTTCCATTTCAGGACCATGGAGAACCAAATCTAACTCAAATTTCATATAATTACAAAGTTTTACATCAGGGAAGAATTCCTGTGATTTTATAAGCAGCCATGGTCCTCCTCCAGACAGAAGACAATGCTCTAGCAGGGCATTATGCCCCTCCCTGTCCTTTTTGACAATTAAACATTATGGCTAGATCCATAAACCTCCTTCCTTTCTTAATTATGAAATGCTGCAGAAAGCTAAGATGGTGAAAATGGGACTCAGCTAGTCTGCTCAGCATTGTATTTTGTAATGAACTGTGGCACAAGGTCTCCCAGTGTAGCAACATCCAAGCTACGGCTCCAAGAAAACCCGGGCTCAGCACTGCAGATCCCTCATATTGTATTTCAAGGTGCCATTCACTAGTTACAGGTGCATCCCAAGTGCTGCAGGAAATATTGGGTGTACATCTTCTGTTACTACACACTGACACCTTCACATTTGTTTTGCTGTGAATAAACTTGTTCCACATCCAAAAAAAGAAAACCAAGGGCATGCCATAAGGCATGTACAATGCCAGGAAATTCTTACGAAAACAAACAAAAACCCAAGTATGTTCAAGGCCTTTTACCCACATCAAACCTGGAAGGAGATAAAGCTCTCATTCTGCAGCTTTCAAGCCAGCTGAAGGCACTTCCAAAGACCTTTCCTAGCTGCCATATGGGAGATGGGCTGATTTATTCCTTGCTAGCTAGGCCCATTTCCCAGGCAGTACCTCTGGCACTGCAATTGTTGCAGGTCCAAGAAAATCCTCCAAAGAATATGTGAAAAAGCCATTGCTACTGTAAGATCCAGAAAGCAACTGATGGCAGGAATCCGATTACAATCAGTGTGGTTTTGGATCCTACTCCACTCAGTCTTATGATGACACAAAGTGTTTCAGAACTCACCCGTGGTTTTTTTGTTTTAGGAAAACAAAACAAAACAAAACAAAACAAAAACCAACCCCACAAAAACCCAAACAACAACAACAAAACCCAAACAAAAACACAAACAAAGCAAAAACCAACCAACCAACCAACCAATCAAAAAATCCAGCATAAAAGGGGGCAAGGGAGAAAAGCTGCCTTATTTTCTGGGCATGTCTTTATCACTTATAAACCTGCAGAGACCTTTGCACTGAAATTGCAACTCAGGAGAGTTTCACAGAGATAGAGAAGAGAGTCGCTTCCATTCAACCAGTGAATATATCAGGTGAATGAGAAATTCTCCCAAAAAGCGAGACATCAGCTGGGGCCAGGTTAACAAAATTAACTTGTGATGCAACATCTTCATCTTCACAAGATTTGTGGTCAATATGGAACAGGTAACTTCTCAGGAATCATCGCTCCAGTGGTTACAGGCTGTTTTCTCATTGTCTTCCTATCCAGTCCATTCCAGCCAAATTTCTAGGGCTATTCAGCAAGCATGCCCTGGACAGATTTAAACTAACATTTTTAAGGCTATGCTGCAGCTGTTTTTCACATGAAGAGAAAAACCAAATCTGTAAAAATCCTGGAAAGGTCTACCCAGATTTCAAGTCCCCAGTCTAAAAACAGTATAGTCAACTATATAGCCAAACTTAAATTTTCAGAAAATATGAGTCAGGACTCCAAAATCAAAGGATTATATTGTTTCTGGTCAAGTTTAATGACCATAGTACTTGGCTTGGCTGGACCAAGAACCCATTTATTAACTTTGCTTGCCCAGACACAAACAAATATTGAAGGACTGCTTCAATAGTGGTTTTTTTGTTTGTTTGATTGTTTGGCTTTTTGATGTTTCTGATTTTGTTTGTTTGTTTATAGTTCAGGGTGGGTTTCTTAAACTTGTTTTTCAAATAGTTTTTCCTGCTCCACAGCTTTTCTATGAAGTACTCAGGGCTGCAGTGGAGTACAGATGTCTGCACCAGTAACATAACTGAGCTAAAATAAATAGAATTTAACATAAGAATTACATGTAAACCAAAGCTTTCAGAAACAAAGGGCATGAGCTGTTTTATACACTAAGTCTTGCTAAAAGAATCAAGGCATATCCCTACCCACATAGGTTAAAAAAAAAGGGCTATCACTGTACCAGTGACTCTACAATGCTTTTATGTTTCTCTCAGTGGAAATTGTTCACAGAAGCTGAAAACACATGCTCATGATTTGCCCTGGCAGGGAGTGCAGCTTACCACGGGTGGGACAGCATACTGAGGACCTGCTTCATCTTCCCTCTGTCATCATAGGACACTTTTACAGTATCCAAATCTCCAGCTTATGTGGAAAACACAAATTTGGGATGCAGCTGTTCGAGCCGATACTTCCAGGACACCGGTACTTAAGCCACCAGCACGCCATCCAACAGGGTTTCGCCATCCCACAGCCAATTTCTGCGCGCCAGCGCCAGTGCACCTTGCTTTTCCCCGGGGAGCTGTCCCGGTGGCGGCGGGAGGACGGTGACACCTGGCGGTCCGAGGCCCTCATTGCCTGGGCCGGGGCAGCGCCGCCGGGCAGAGCGCGCTGCGGGTTACGGCGGGGCTTTCCCAGCGCCCGGCGGGCCGGCACGGACCGGGGCTCGGGCTCCGTCTCGGCAGGAACAGCTCCGGGAGGGGGAAGCCGCGCACAGCAAAGGGAAGGCTCCGGGCAGACCTGACCGCGGTATCCCAGTACCGAAGTGCCGACAAGAGAGCTGGAGGGGGGCCTATTGCAAGGGCATATAGCGACAGTACAAGGGGGATGGATTCAAACTGGAAGAGGGTAGATTTAGATTTAGATTTTATATGTTAGGAAGGCATTATTTGCTGGGAGGGTGGTGAGGTACTGTAGCAGGTTGCCCAGAGAGGCTGTGAATTCCCCACCCTGAAAGCGTTCGAGGTCGGGCTGGATGGGTCTTTGAGCACCGTGGTCTAGCGGGACGCGTCCCTAGCCATGGATGATCCCTAAGGAGCCTCCCGGCCCGAGCCCCTCCGCGGCCCCCGGCCCGCGCACGCGCCGCGCGTTGCCCGGGAGACGGACGCCGTTACCGCTCCTCAGGCCCGCCCGCCGGCGCGGAGCGGGGCCGCCGCATGGAGCCCACCATGGAGCCCGCCGTGCTGCCCGTCCGGGCGCCCGAGCCCGCCGACGTGCCCGCCGACGTGCCCTACAGCTTCTGCAGCCAGCCCCGCTCCCTGTCCTCCCGCCCCAAGTACCGAGAGCAGCCCAAAGCCGCCGAGACGTGAGTGCCGGTGTCCGGCGGGCCGCTGCCCCGCTGCCCTCCGCGCCTTTCCCCTCACCCCAGCTCCCTTCCCGAGGAGCGCAGCCCCCCGCCTCGCCTTCCTCCCGCCGGCCGGGGGGAAGCCGCCAGCGGCGCTGTCTGTGCTGTGCCGCAGGGAGAAGGGCCCGCTGAGCTACGTCAACATCATGTTCGACCCGAGGGTGGTGCGCGGAAACGTTCTGTCCGTCCGTCCTTCCCCACCGCAGGTACTGGCGTTCGCTGAAGTGCATCATGACACAGTTTTGTTGGAAAGTCATAGGTAGGGCAGCAAAGCTAATTTTAATTACCGAAGCAGTAATTCTACTTGCAATGTTTCACGCAGTCACAGGCTCTCCAGTTAAACCAGCGTGTGACTGTTTCCACCCCTTCTTTAAAGCACTCCGTTTCATATGAACTTCTGCAGTTCTGATTTTTTAACCCCCATTAAGTACTTAATGCTTTTATTTTCCTTCTCTGTTTCTTTAGTGTAATGGTCCTGAGCACAAGTCATTACTCGATAACCTGTTATGATATGCAAGGTGTCATCAGGGAGAATTGCAGCTCTTGGGAAGTTGAGTTGTGGGGTAGACTTTGATTTATCCTACCACAGAAGCAGAGCTAAATGGTTCAGGTGTATGCAAAAGCTGCTTGTGAGGATACCAAAGTATTTTGTTTGTATTACTGCTATATGCTGATATAATAGTAAAGCATAGCATCTTAGAATGGTTTGGGTTGAAAGGAACCCTGAAGATCATCGAGTTCCAGCCCTCTGCCCTGGGCAGGGTCATCTTCCACTGGTCCAGGTAGCTCGGAGTCCCACCCAAATGTGATACTTTGTTTTCAGATAATATTTCTACATAGATAATTTGATTTTATGTGAATTTAAAGCAGTATTTTTAAAAGCTACTGTTTGAAAATAGCTTTGTGTTGTTCTGTAGCCATTTCTTAGAGTGAATTTTATGTAAGTTTTGTTTAAAAAGTTCAAAGTTCTGATGTTTATCTCAATATATAAGTAGAATACTGAATTTAAATGTTATTATGAGTTTCTTTTGTTTAATCCGCAATAATTGATCTATAATTTTTATCTAGCAAACCATTCTGTTCATAGTCTGATAACTGGACTTGAATATCATTTTCAAGTACAAAGTGTATTGTGTTTTGTGGGGTTCTTTCTTCTTTACCCCTGCTCAGCATACCGAGCCCCATACCCTTGAGGTTAAAAGGCAGAGGAGAGCACGGAGAAAAGTACTGGCCAGAAAGTTTACACAGGTGCATATTCGACCAGGAACGCCAGAGCCTGTGGAAGGCAGAGAACATGTTCATGTGCAGACAGGTAAAAGGCTGCATTTTTTTATATCTATCTGAAAACAAAAGCTTGTTGATCTATATTCACTTGCTAAACTGGTGATTAAATTGGTAGAACCACACAGTTTAAAATCATATAATGCTGGAATCAGAGATTCTAAACTTGTCTAATAAGTGACATTTTCCCAGAAGGTCTATTTTTTAGTGCACATTCTTGAACACTGGTCAAGACTGCTTCATTTATTCTTTCCATTTTTGGTATAACTAGAGAAATTTCATATATACTTTAAATTGAAGGTTTTAAAAGTTTTGCTTAAGGTGAACTACTGTTTTTGGAATCACTTCCATGAAGTGCATCTGACATTACAGAGAATACAACATCAGGTGGCCTTTGCAGAAAACTGACCTGTTTGGAGAGGCCTTTTTTCTAACTTTATAGACAACATTTTATTGCATTCTTTGCAATTCAGGTGTAATTCAGACTAGAGAGTCATCAAAAACAGGTGAAAGCTAAAATGAAAGAAATCCCACTTTGAGTATTCATCGTGCTTTTGTTTCTAGAATTGTATTTGGAAGAGATTAGTGATCGAATAATAGAGGTTGATGAAGAGTGTCAAACAGATGACTTTTTGGACAGACCACCCACTCCACTCTTCATACCAGCCAAATCAGGAAAAGATGTGGCCACTCAAATAGAAGAAGGAGAGGTATGAAGTCAGGTTCACAAGTGCTATCAAAATATGTCTCCTATCCAAAACACATTTCTGATGTAAAATTGAAGTAGAAAGAGAAAGGAGCTAATCCTCACAGAACATGCTAAAAAACAAAACAAAAAAAAAAACCCAAAAAACAAACCACCCAAACCCAACTCACTTTGAGGTCTGCTTTGAGGTTAAGTGCAAAATTAAGGAAGATGTGTTGCCACGTGCACTGGTTGTGCTGCTTTGAGCTAAGCAATACAGTGTTGAGAAATGCTCTCCTCTGTAAAACATGTCCAGCCCAAGAAGGGACTGGGAACACAGAAACAGGGCCCAGATAAGTGCTTATCTTCTCCCTGGCAGTCCCCACAGGGCCTGTGGGAGGCTGTGTGGTGTCTCAGGCCAGCCCACTCACCACTTAACCCCCAACAGCACTCGTGATTCTCTCTGCCTTAGCTGACACTGGTCCCTCACCTGCACTTCTCCAGCCTGACTTCAGCACAAGGGCTTTGTTCATCCTCCTTTTCTCCTTGCCAATCCTTGTTAAGAGTAATTGTGATCAAGGGACATTTATCTCTATTTTTCTGACTCACATCCTCAGTTGTTTGACTTTGACATTGAAGTTAAGCCGATCCTAGAAGTGTTGGTTGGCAAAACGGTTGAGCAGGCTTTGCTGGAAGTCATGGAAGAAGAAGAGCTGGCCCAGCTGTGGTCACATCAGCGTGCCTTTGCAGAGCTGCGTAATGCAGAGTTTGCTGAATTACAGCGCTTGGAAGAGCAGGACAGGCGAATCAAAGAGGAGAAGGTAGGACTTCCTAAGGGACTTCCTGTCAGAAGGGAGAAAAACATTTCCAGTACTGAAAGATAGCCTGTGATATAAGCTGGGAATGTCCAAAAAGGGTACTGTCAGCTTTGATATACCTTAAAGAATTTTGATGATGTGCAGCTGCACTCTGCCACTTGCTCCCATACAACAGCACCACACTGTTGTGTTTATTTGGAGAAGTCATGCTTAAGTGACTTGGTGTAGTTGGACACCTGGTCAAAAGGCTGAAACCAACAGCATTTTCTTCTGTACTTGTTTAGCTCTTTCTTAAGCCTTTTCCTTATAAGTGCTAAACAAATAGTCAGAGTGCTTGGAAGTAAGAGAGACACCTCCTGGTCTTTCACACACAATGTATGCTCTACTCTGTGTGCACATGTACATCTCAAGATTGCAAAGTATTATGCCATATTAGTAATATTTAGTAAATAGGAATAAACTAAGAAGGCAAGTGTTAATTACTTGCTATTCATCAGTCTTGTATAATTGTGTTTCCTAATGGTTTCCTGAACTAATTTGAGTTTTAATCTTTTTGTACATGCAATAGGATATAATACGGGAAGATAAAAAAAGTTTGGGAAATACTTATCCAACTTCATCGTATTCCAAGGCAAATAATCATCTTGATCTGCAATAATAAAACACAAAGTCATGAGACTAATGTATATTAAGGCATCAGAGAAGGGTTTCATTTGGCCAGCATCAATGCACTTATTTTACAGACTTGCCAAATTCAGAAAAGGAATACTACAGAAATGTGATTCTTTGTAAATTGGGGTATTTTAATACTCCATAGATTAAGTACCAACTTGCTTTCAAGCACTCTTTCATGTGAAGAATTTCAGTAGAAGTTAGAGTCTGCAAATACCAGGTAGAGATTATAATTATCTGTACTTTTTACTATCTTTGCTATTTATGGGACACACACTGTGATAATTCTTCAAGATCTAGATCAAAGAAGTGACAGCTAAAGGCCTCTAAGTTTTACATGCATAATTGCCTTGACAGGAACGTCGCAGACTGGAGCACCTGGAAAAGCTGCGGAAACAGAGAGAAACTGCAGAGAAAATTGCAGCTCGGGCATTTGCTCAGCGTTACCTGGCTGATCTCATTCCCTCAGTCTTCAACAATCTTCATGACAGCGGATTTTTTTATGACCCTATAGAAAGAGGTTTGTTTTTTTTTTTCTTTTAAAATATGTGAACAGAGTAATATAAAGCTCAAAACAACTATGAAACATAGTGTATTATACTATCATTTAGAATAATGTCATAAGACTTTATTCATTTACATTTGTGGCTGAACACAAAAAACATTACTGGTCATCTGTACAAATAGTGAAGAATAAACAAGAGCTGACAGTTTGACAATGAGAAGAGCTACTTTGGAACTGGAGAGAAATAAATGGGTGGTTAGGATTGGGAGAGAGATCCAAATTGAAGTACATGTCTTTTTATAAAACAGACAAAGAAATCATTATGTCATTCTGAATATTTTTTAATGATTATCAGAGCAAGTGACAAATTAGTCAATTAGAATTAGGTCCTGCAAATAATTTTGGAATTGTGTATCAGTGGCTTCCAAGCCCTTAGAATCAGCAGCATTTCTTATGAACTATCTTTCACCAGTCTCCACATGGGCACAGACCACAGCTTGAGAATGAGAATTACACTCTCTCCAGGGTAAATCATGAAGTCAATGCAGAAACTGAGTGTGTTTTGCAGCCAGGGCAGGCTTTGGGATCACAGTGTACAAAAAGTATAATTTGAGAAATTCATAAGTAAGCAAGATCTCCTTAGTCAGACAGAACAAATGTCTTCAGCAGACCATAAGCCAAATGTCTTTGGAAAGCAAGGCAGGAAATGTTATTCTTCTGACTTGTTCAGGATAGTTATTTGGCTCTCGTTAGAACAGACTGTGTATCTCATCTGTGCTAAGCCCTTCAAGGGTGCCAGACCTCTGAAAATAACTGCAGTTGAGAGGACTCTGCTCTGAATCTATAATGATCATGAACCAAAGTAAGAGAGGTTGGAGATAAGAATCCAAACAATATCTGAGAGATTTCATGTGACTTACAGAATAAGTGCCTTTTGCCAGGGGGGGTTAATCCCTTAATTGTTGTAGCAAATAAAAAACAGCCACCAAGTTCTGTTGCTCATCCTTTATAAAGTGATATTTCCCTTTGTTTATTCCTGCTAAATTCTGACAGATATTGAGACAGAATTCCTTCCATGGCTAATGTCAGAAGTGGAAGAAACACTACAGAAGAAGGTTCTGGGAAGGACAATGCTTGACTGTAAGTTACCAAATCCTGGAATGTAATCTGGACTGCCTGATATTCTTGATTGTTTTTTTGCTGGTCAGAACAAATGTCACGTTTATATGGTCACTGTGGGTTAAGGTAGCAAGTGTCATTTTAGGAAAAACTACAAATACCCATGTTTTTTTGTGCTGGGGGTTTTGTTTGTTTGTATTTGTTTGTTGATTTGGTTGGGTTTTTTACTATATTAACATGTTTTAATGTTGGAAAACTACTGCTGCATACAACTAGGTAACTGATTTTCAGCTGAAACAATGCAAGTGTCAGTCATGCTGCACTATCTACTCTCTTCTGACTTTATACGGTTTGAGATTTGTTAATGCTGGGAGATACAACATCTATGTCAGGAACAGAATGGTTAAAGAACACAATTATTTTTTCTGCTATAAAGCTTCTACTTCCTCTTTGTTACACAGCCACCACTGCTGTAGTGTTCTCTGTAGCGCACCCGATGTGCCAGTGGGAACAGAAAAGCCTATCTTGTATACTGTACATGTATACCATGAAAGTGTCTTAATTTGCTTGTGTAATCTCATGGAGCTATGAATTGTTCTCCTACATTGAAAGGAGGATGATGGTGGGCCGTGGTTGACTGAGACATGAGGTGACCAATATTTTTCATCAAAACAAGGGCTTACCTCCTAATCAGTCAATCATAATGTCCTTGCTTTTGAAATAGATTGAAATATCAGTCTTCTTTGGCTAGTTCAAACTAAATATTTGGGCTCTTTTATTAATTTAGAGGCTGTAGTTGAAACACCTGAAAAACCTGGATTCTGTCTTGTGTATAAATACAAAAGTATGGTGTATGTATGCCCATTAGGGTGCTCCTACATCAAACCACTTTTTACACTTGCATAACATCTTCATTCTTATAGTTTTCCTCTTGCTGAAATTTTGGGTTTTATTACAATTATGTTTGCTTCCTTTGATTTATTTTTAGTTTAATCAAGACCCTGAATTTTATTTGTTAAGGTATAGTATTATTTGGACAATTACAGCTGGTGTGTTAGGTATTTCATGCTGATACATGTGCCACTATGTACACTCAAGAATCACTTCTTCATGTAGCTTTTCAGAAGGAAGGGAAATTTCTCTTCTGTATGAAGAAAATATTGTATGTTACTACTGAATAAACATCCTAAGGAGAATGTTGCTGCAGGATATAATATTGATGAGAATATCTATTATATTTTTGTTAAATCTGTTTAAGGTTTTAACCAGATACCATTGTCTTGCTCTAGTCCTTAGGTATTTCTTCATTTTTAGAGTTACTTCAGGGTTATTTCTCTATTTAGTGATTTATGGGTCAGTAATATACACAAAAAAAATTTCTCAAATTATAGGGGTTTTCCTCCATGGTTGTAAATATTGGCTATCTCTTTCAGCTTTGATTCGTATGGTGGTTGAAAAACGCTTAGATGAATTTAGCCATCCACCTCCATCTGCTCAGACAAACGCACCTTCTGAAGAACCCAGAACAGCAGATGCAGCTCCCAAATCTGGTGAGGCAGATGCTGCTGACCAACCAGTTGCAGAGGAAGAAGAGACTGACCACCCAGTTGCAGAAGAAGAAGAGACTGACCACCCTGTTGCAGAGGAAGAAGAGACTGACCAACCTGTTGCAGAGGAAGAAGAGGCTGACCAACCTGTTGCAGAGGAATAGCCTTCAGATTCCACCTCTTCTCAGTTAGAAGAATAAGACCAAGAGGGAACAGCAGATTTGGAAACTGAGTAGCAAACAGGCAAGTCATCAAGTAAATGGAGACCAGTGGCTTAGAAATAAGGATTTAATTCCTATCTATTTACAGGTATTGTGCCCTAGCCATGCTGAAGGATGAACCTAAGCAACAGCAGAGCATTAAAACATGTTTTCCGTATGCTGGAGTTGCTGATTTCAGGCTGCTAGAATCAAGAGAGAAGTTACTAGTGCAATGAATGGCACGGAAATTCTGTCCCCTTTTACAATTCAATCCATCAAAACCTGGGAGATTTACAGTTGAAAAGCAATGCTGTCCCACACCCTGTGTAGAAGGTCATGAGAAGGATGTTGAGAGCATCATAATAATCATCTTTGTAAGTGCTTTGATAATGTTCTTAGAACAATATTTCCTAATTTTCCTTATTTTGAAAGATAGTTACTGCAGCAATTAAATAAATTGCTTTTGATTCATGTTAGTCTTTCCTTTCCTCACAAACTTGAATGGACATCTCAGCAGGTAATACAGCCAAAGTAGCTGTTCCTCAGGCTTGTCAAGTTCAAAGAGTTTCCTGCCCCTGGGAAGTTCTGCCTAGGCAAAATCCTCCTCAGCATCCTCTCATGGAACCCCCTTCTGGAAGTGAGGGTCTGGAGCTACACACTAAGTCTCGTAATCGTCATCTCTTTGTAATCGTCCTTTCCTGCTGGTTCACTGGAAACAGTACCAGACATGACTGACAAAATGTGCTTTCACTGCCATGTGTAGCTAGTTGTACGTTCTCAGGCCGGTTTCTCAGGTGGGGCAGTCCCCCGCACAGCAGTACATGTGTGCTACATCGCAGCAGGGCCATGTCGTTGCTGGGTCAGTGTTCCCATCAGCAGCTGTCCCCGGCAGGCAGGTAGGACGGCAGGGTGGACAGCCGTGCACCCACAGGAGGTGCACGGGGGTCTGCAGCTCCTGGGTGCGTGCGTGCAGCAGGGAGCGAGAGAGGCCGGAGGGAGCGGGCGCTGCAGGCACTAGAGGGCAGGACAGCCCACGGCAACCCGGCTGGAGAAACGCTGGGAAGGACACTGCGGTGTCACCTATTGCACATTGCACACCCTGCATTAGTGACGCCCGTCTGAACATCCCTCCTCTGCTGAACCCCAATGGTGTCCAACTTCTGCAAAATTTACTCATTTATAGCATAAGGAGCCAATACTTGAACCACACTGGCTCATAGGACGACAGAGTAGTTTGAGTTGCAAGGGGCCTTATAGATCATCTGGTGCAATCCCACACCTGCCGTGAGCCGGGATACCTTTCAGTAGGTCAGGTTGCTCAAAATCCCATCCAGCTTGGTGGTTACGGACAAGGGGGAAATAATCTCCTCAGGGTTGACCCGTGACCGTACAAGAAATAGCCACTGGTTGCTTCAGGGGATGTGCACACACTGCCTTCCCTTCGGCCTGCTGGGGTAGAGTCTTGACACTGAACCCCAAGTAAAGGGAGCAAAACCGGGACGTGTGTGCAGAACATTCTAAATGCTGTGAGGTGCCTTCCTGGGAAGTTGTTAACCACCAGCAGTGCCGGTCAGGAGGTTCTGTGGATCCTTACAGGGACGGAGGCAGTATCGACAGCCGCGGCACCCGCACGCCCCTGAGAACGAGCTTCCCAGCAGCGCCGCCGCACACCGAGCGCCCGGGCACCGGCGGTGGCGGAGCCGCATCCCCCCGCCCGTCCCGGCGCTCCGCAGGGGCGGAGCGGGGAGGGGACGCGGCGCGGCCGCCCCTCGTCCCGGCCCTCCCCCGGCCCGCCCGCCGCCGCCCCGCCGCCAGGCGTCTCCCCGGGCCGGGCACCGCCGCGGGGACGGGAGGAGCCGCCACTGTCGCCGCTGCGCTCCCCGGCCCGGCGCTGGGGGAGCGGGCGGCGCCCGCGGAGCTGTGCCATGAGGTGAGCGGGGCCGGCGTGCGGGGCCGGGCCGGGGGCGCTCCGCCGTCCCGCAGCGGTGCGGGGCGCTCGGGGGAGCGGGGGCCCGCTCCGGGCGGGGCGCTGGGGGGCGGGCGCCGAGCACCGGGGCCGTCGGACCGGGCCCGCCGCCGCAGGAAAACTGTGCCACAATGTGTCCGCTTTCAGGAGGAGCGTTTCGTCTTTACTTATTTATTTTACGTTTTTCCCCCTCGACTTTCCTCACGTCCCGGCCGCCGTGCAGGCTCTCGCGCTTGTCCGCCCGCAGCGCCGCGCACCGGAGCCCCGGGATGGGCGCCCGCCCCGGCCCCCCTTGCCTCTGGGCACAGAAAGGCCGCGGGACCGCAAATTTGGAGGAGGAGGGGACATGTCCCCATCCCTCCTTCGTGCCTCTCCAGCCCCACGGGGCTTTCAGGGCAGAGCGTGGGGCAGCGGGCGGTGCAGTGACCCGCGTGCGGCGGTGGCACCCCCGTGACAAGAGACACGGGTCGTGGTCTGGGAGGTTTGTTCCTGCGTGGAAAAACAACTGCGGCTCCAAAGGTGTGCCCGCCGCTCGCACACGGGTCTCGACGCCTGCATCAAAACCCCCGCTGACAGAAGCAGCCGCAGCATGGCTTGCACAGTTTTCCAGCTCTCTTCAGGAGGCTGACAGCTTGCCGAGGTCAAGCCTTGAGCTGTCATTGAGTGCTACGGGACGCACAACTTTTTAAATTTTTTTTTTTTCCTCTGTGGAAGAGGAATTTACTACATTTACTACATTTACTATATCCTATTACACAGGATTCGGTTTTTTCTTAAAGTACTTAACTTGGTCAAAATTTAACTTTCAGTTGTTTTTTATTTTTCTATTAGAAGTTTCTGTCTTTTAGTCAAATGACAGTTCATTTTAAAGAAAGGTGAATATTGGACAGCCAAACTTTCTCTGAGGGCTGTTGCTTTCTGTCTGACTTTTAACACAACAAGAAACAACCACCTTGCAATGCATGGCCAGTGCGGCAAACTGCTTTTGTAGAAGGTATTTAAAGTAGTAGATGAAGAGCAAAAGTACTATCTGCCTTTACAATGTGAGTTAAAACATAATCTTCCCACCTCAGCTGATATTTTTAATTTATAAAGGATTACATAGGGCAGAATCCAAGCCTTTTTTTTGCATGCATGATATATCTACATTCACGTTTGTGTGTGGCCACTTTGTCTACCATGATGAAGATCTTAATGAATAAATAGAAATGACACATACGTCCTCTTTCCAGGAATCAGTAGGAGAGGATGTGCCTGGCGTTATTACCAGGAGATTAGCAATCCAGCTCTGACAGAATGGGGAAGAGGTTTCCAATCTGAACATTCAGATTGGATTGCATTGCAGTCGTAAAATTAACGTCAGCAGGTACAACCTGATTCTTGGTTGTCCCAAAGCTTAGCAGAAAATCTGGCTGTGTCTGAGATACCTAATTACATGCAGCAGCAGCGCAAGTTATCAAGCAGTCCTGTCCCTTCTTGGCACTTTGCAAGAGTGCCCCTTTTTTGTTGTGAGGTCTTCAGTATGCCAGTGTCCCTGCAACGTCTCTGCTGTGCTCTGACCCTTCACTGGGGAGAAATAAAGATGCTGTCATTGGGAATTTCCCTTCACTGGTCCCTCCTGTCCCTTTTGTTGGTTTGGAAAAGCAGTGCAAGGGGCACCGCTCCACCTCTGTGCGTGGGGAGTGGTCACACGGCACAACACGAAATGGGGCTGTGCGGGGCAGGTGGCTCTGAGGGGAACACGGGGAGTTGTGCTGAACAGAAATACAGGTATGGTCATAGGATCGGTGACAAACTGTTTCTATTGATATTGTGTGTGTTCGCTGCCCTGGTGCCACTGTATCTGCAGTATGTTATCCACCATTAGTGTGTTACTTGCCCTGAATTACAAGTCAAAGCAGTCAAAATCTCATTTGCAAACCTAATGGGAGCTGAAATAGATCCTGGAGTACTATAACTGTGTAATGGGCTGACCAGCACCCCTTTTTGAATTATTCAGTGCTCTGACATGTAAATAGGACCTGGTTGTTCTGATCATGCAGATGCTGAAAATTCATAATAGGATTATTTGTGTAAGAAGCAGAAGATAGGATGAGTGGGAATAAAAGAGAGAAATAAGATTAGAAGGACTGTTTCAGTTCCTCTGGGCCTGTGTATCAGAGTGAGAACAATAGTGGGAGAGTTTGGTACAAAAAATCTCATAAATACAAGAAAATAATTATTTATTTCCTAAAGAGGACCATTAAATCATGTAGTTTATTCTCTAAGTTTAATCAGGGCAGGTCACAAATTCATGCTCTCTAACTAAAGGCAATGACTTCTATTTCCTCTAATTTCCATAATTTTCTCTGCATTAAGAACCTCCTGTTGTGAAGTTCTGTGAGCAGTTGCTTGTCTTCTCTCAGTGCCTGCCCTTCTGCCAGGACTTGGTGAAAAGGAAGCATCATAAGCTAATTCCCTTCCCCTTGACTATTGAGACACATTTAATTTACAGTATATTGGCAGGGCTGGGACCTGATCTGCTATCCCTTCCTCAAATTGCTAATTTCTTGATTGATGATTAAACCCCCAAAAATAGCAACCCCCACCCTGCCCATAAGTGAACACACACACTATGCTTAAGGCAGTCAGTGCTGGCATTGTAAGTTTGATGTGTTTGAGCACTTGACCTTACACCCAACTTTACAAATCGAAATCACCCTCTTCAGTAAGAGCAACCTGACCCACAAGATGTTTCAATACTAGAGTATTTCCAGCTAGTTCCCTACTGGCCCCTCTGAGCTTTTATTTTAGGATGTTCCTGCGTTCAAAGATAAGCATGAGGCAAACAAGACTGCACCAAACACCAAGGGAACAGCAGTCACACACTTCTACTTTAGCCTGTGCCACTGTGCAGGAGGCTGCATCATTTAATTGTCACTGAATCCAGAAGAATCTGTTTGTTCTTTTCTTGCGTTGTGTGGAAAAAAGTAGGAAATCTCTTTGAATGATGCCAAGGATACTGCTATGTTGTGATAACTAGCAGGAAATAACAAGAATTAGGACAGAAAGAAGGTCAGTTGACTTGAATTCTGTATGGGAAAATCTTGAAAGTGGATCATAAAATTTAATTGCACACATATCCTGGGGATAGTCAAATAAATATTTGCTTCTAATTTTGGGGTTTTTGCTGATTTATTTTTATGTTCCAATGCATTCTTCTGTATATGGGCTATTTGCAATTTGCTGTGAAAGTGTTTTGGGCTCCAGACATTTCTGAAATGACAATCCAGAAGCAACAGCTATTTCCAATGGACTTTACTCTCTCTATGTTTCTCATATTTCCTCTTTTTTCTTGCTTTTTCTGCTTGTACTGATTGGTCTTTTGTAAAAGGCATGTGTTTCAGTGCTAAATAAGGATCAAGGATGCCTTTGTAAACTAGTTCTGTCTTGGAGGACAGAGTAGATCTGCTTTTATCTTTCTGTATCTTGCACCTACAGCACTATTTTAGAAGCTGTTTCACAAGCAACTTGGGATTGAAAAATATAAGCTTATGAAAGCACTTAGGAAAATATTAGTGTAGCAGTATCTAACCTGTGTGAAAATGCACACTACCAAGCAGATGTAGTGCATTGAGTAATATTAAACTTTGCTCTTCCACTCACTCTCTTGTTTCCAGGTTTCTGTTGCTATTAATGTTGTTGAGGGACTCTTGAGGAGAAGCAAGAATGTCTTCTGCATGAGTGACACATGTCTTTCAGAGAGAGCCACAACAGCAAGAGTCCCATGTGATTCTTTTGGTCATAAACTGTCACTGCAATTTTGTTGGTAGAATGTTATTTCAATCATTGCAGCTGTAAAATGTGATGGACAGCTTTGGCTTGTCCTGTCTGCAAAAATAAGTAACTTTAGATTCAGTATGTCTTTTTTAAAGACTACAATAAAAGTGCTGTAAAACTGAGCAACAAACAAGTTTTTTATATAGCAATAGAATTCTATTTTGCCACTACCTTGACAGGTTGATGCCCAAAGAAGACACCAAGTGTCTGATCATTATATTGTCGTGCAATAATGAGTGGTGGAAGGACCAGTGAAGCACATATTAAAGACATAACTAGAGTAGTTCAATGCTTATTTTGTCCCCAAAGACGTAGATATTACTTCTTTTCCAGGTGGAATTATCTCTAGAGTCATCGTCACAGATGTGGCATGCAGAGAACAGAGAGGAGTTTGAAAAGAAGGGAAGTAGAGATGATGAACAAAGATCTGCAAAGAGGGAGTAAGCAAAAGGCAGAGGGAAGGTAGTAAAATGCTGGAAGTATTAGCTAAGAGAAAGAAGTTACTGAAAACATAACTGATGTTTGATTGGCATAACAAAAGAGAAGCTGGTAGATAAAAGTACAAACCCCCCAGAAATATGTTTTGTAATCACAAGTTCTATTTCAATTCAATTTTCATTTAGTCTTAGCAACCAGGTTAACTTTTTGTGCAGAAAGCCAACCTTTGTAATGCTCCAGAAATGTTTCATACCTGTTCTAGCATGCTTTCTGGCTTCTTTTTTGTTCTTTTTTTTATGTGCTGAGAGTCATGGCTCACCTGCATCATTGAGTAAGGAAAAGACATTAAACCCTTTTAAAGTGATTAAGACAAACCAAGAAGATGTAACAGAATCCTTTTCTGCTTCAGCTGCACTTGGGTGTCTCAGCAATCACCCATATTGATTAGGCAAGCGACTTAATACCTCTCACAGTAAGAAAGAGCAGCAGATGATTTGCCTGCTGAAACTCTTTTTTTTTTGTATTCTCAGGGCTCATCCAAGAAAAGACCAGAGCTGCTGGCCGGAATGAGTCCAAATGCGCTATAACAAAACCACTCCTCCCTCTGTCAGTGGAAGAGAAATTTGAAAACTAGTGCATAAGGTATCCTGAGTAGATGCATCATTTGCTTTCTGTAAATCTGGCAGCCAGATAGCCGTTCCTCATCCCAGTGGTGCCAGCACTGGAAGCAGGTCAGTGTTGGTCCTCAGTGGTGGGCACCAATGAAAGTAAGAAAAAATGTGTCAGGTGAGGATTTCCACATTAGGCTGTTGGACCCCCAATGAAGGTGAATTAAATTTCTCTTGTCCAGAGAAGGGCAACAAATGTGGTGAAGGGTCTGGAGCACAAGTCATATGAGGAGCAGCTGAGGGAGCTGGGGGTGTTTAGTCTGGAGGAAAGGAGGCTCGAGAGAGACATGACTCTCTACAGCTGCCTGAAAGGAGGCTATAGCCTGGTGGGGGTTAGTCTCCTCTCCCAGGCAACCAGCAACAAAGAGGACATTGTCTCAAGCTGGCCCATGAGAGTTTTAGGTTGGACATTTGGAAGGAATTATTCAGAGAAAAGGTGATCAGACATTGGCATGGGCTGCCAAGGGAGGTGATGGAGTCATTGTGCCTGGAGGTGTTTAATGAAAGGCTGGATGTGGCACTCAGTGATATGGTCTAGTGGACATGGTGGTGTTTGGTCATGTTGCACTCAATGATCAGAGGTCTTTTCTCACCTAGTTGATTCTATGATTCTGTAACTAACAATCTCAGCAAAATGTGGCGCAGCCTGGAGCACCGATTCATCACAAGCCAGTGAAACTGATACAAGTCTGCAAGATGTTTTGGTTTCAGTTAACTCAGGGTATTCAGGCAAAAATAAGTTTACTGGAAATATTTTGACTTGTTCGTGACTCACTTGTTTTTATAAACCTAACACTCCTTTCCTCACAAAGCAAGTAAGTATGCAAGCAAAGCAAACACATTTACTATAAAATCTGTGATACCAAAATTCTGTAGTTCTGAAAGGTATTCTCAGCTTGCCCTTATTCAAAACCATTTGAGGGGGTCAGGGAAGTGTTAGTGTGGTGACACTCACTATGTCCTGGCTTGGAAACATGTTGCTTTGGGTTTCTAGTTTTGCTTAGAACAAAAGATTGGCAAGGCATTTTGCGTCTCTTGGGGGTTGCAGATGGATCGTAATGATATTCTTGTCACTGGTTGTGCCAGCAAGGCTTCTGGACCTTATTACTTCTCACATAGCAGCTGCCAGGGACAAGAATAATTTTCACGCTTGGAAATCATCTTTACTTGACTTATTGCACATTTACATGCTGTTCCTCTCTCTGAAATACTCCTAGTGTAATTGATGGAAGGAATTGTCTCCCTTTCTAATAATTGAATTTGCTATATAGATTTTTCACTGAGGAGGGCTCTGTCTAATAAAAATGCATCCTAATTTTTAAGCATTTATTGAATGAAAAGAAGAAAGGCTGCCCTGGCCAAAACAGAGAGATTGACAAGACAGAAAACAAAACAATGATAAATGAGATATTAAATCACTTTCCACCCTTTGTCTTACTCTAATAGAAAAGATAAGGCTTGAAATTATTTTTTTTCCTTTAAGTTGTTCTTATTGTTTCAATGATCTGTCAGTGTTGATGCCTGAATCTCAGAACACTTCAAGTCTTTGCAGGCTTCAGGACCTATACAGCCAAATATTTACAGATTTTTAGACCTCTAACAAAAATAAAATACTATGTTACAGAGTGTATACTACAATGTTAGAGGTCATCAAAGTGACCTGGTTGAGAAGGGGTTGTGGTCTCAGTCCTTTCAAAAATAAGATTACCAGATTTTTGCTAGATTTTTCATACCACTTTTATCAACATCAAAAATCTCATCATTATAAAGTAATTTTAAAATAAGACATTACCAAAATGAGTATGGACTTCTTAAACTAACAGAAAACAGATATTTTTTACCCAAATCAAAAAAAGCAGTTCATTAAATAGTTGAGACAATGTAGAATGAATATCTTTTATTTGATCTGTAAAAATATCAGCAGGATATATTACTTTAAAAATTTTTACTTGTCAAATTAACTGATTTTTTCAACTGTATAAGTCTCTGAATTACTTTTGTAGTCAGTGATGTACACTGATAACTTTATAAATTTATTAAGTAAGAATCGAATTTAGAAAAACCCATAGTCAGGTTATAATTTTTATTATTAAATTCTAGCCTGATAGCAAAAAATGGTCGCACATCTACTGAGGTGTTATGGTTGCTATCATATTTTAAAAATATATTTGGGTCCCAGAATCTGAAATTGCAGTAAATTTTAATTTGAATATCATGTGTTTTGACAAGGATATTAATGCAAAGTTGAATACATGAAGTTTACAAAACAACTTATGAGAGCATAATTGTGGAGAGTGTGACCTGTGCCTTAGCTTGTCAGAGCACTGACTCTTGAATCATATGGGCTCTCCCAACGTGATTATGGTTAGCAAGTCATTAGCAACCATTTGTTAGAAATCTGTTAGTTTGTTATTAAGATTGTAATAGATGTAGGAGATTAGAATGTCATGATACAACAAGGAAAATACACTTTGGTAGCTGTTGACAGAAGACATCCAAGTATTTGATGGTGGGCACTTTTAGATAACCCTGAATTCTTCCACTTGCAGACCTCACATGCTGTATAAACCTCTGACAGAATATGTTAATGTAGGTTTTTGTAAATTACTAAACCAGCCTTTTGTTAACTTATGGTGCAAACCAAATATCTGAGTTGTTTCATGTTACTTTTCATTAACTCACAGGACCATACTAAATGAATGTTTCAAAAGTCAGAGTTGGGAGTTGAAGAGGTCATGCACCTTGGTGAAGGAATGAAGACAAGAGACCTCTCAGTGAATTTTAATAAAACGTCAGAGATCACTTAGCTTTCTTTTCCTAATTATTGTAACTTTTTTATGTCAAGATCACTTTTTAATGAAGAAATGGTGTTCTTTGCCTCTGTTGCTAGAGCACATGGAGAAGTTAATCAGGTTCCAAGGCTGTCTCTGAAAAATTAGCATACAGACAAGTCACTGCAATAAAAATGCCAAACTGCTTAAATACAAGGTGTATTTTGTATCAGCCTGCACTTGGCATTCATTAATCTGTGGTGCACCATATTCCAAGCTCCTTATTTGGTATGGACAGGGGAATTAACAGTGACTTGTTTTTAAGTTGTTTTTGTCATTCTGTGGAGGTAGTGGCTCTTCCTTTACCTGTAGTCTCTACATTATTGGCCTTGTTATCCTGTTTTCATAATTCCTTTTGCATTCTTTTTCACTGAGGAAAAGAACCTTATGTAGAGACAGTCTCCTGTAATTTATTCAAGTTTCAGTTTTGCTGGACAAAACAGCAGAACAACATTGCCCTGCAGGATGAAATTTTCAACAAGCATGAACACTGTGCATGTAATGCCACATTTTTTTGGCTTCTTGTTTGAGTAAAGTTCAAGAGGGGGCAGAGAATCCCAAACAGGTTTGCATACCATGCAATTCCAGTCCAGACCTCAGAAAGGCAGGAGTCCAGTTATGCATCTATATCTACTTTTATTCAACAATAATCTGTGAGCCACAATTTGTAGATTTTTGGAGTCATTAAATGGCTCTTGATAACCAAAGGAAAAATTAAGGAAACAGCCAAGTGATATTTAGGAACATGTATGACTTTCATTATTAAAGCATATATGAGCCATTTGGAGGATTTGATTATTATTTGAGTTATGCACCATAGGCATTCTAGGCACTACTATGAAAATAAAACCCCTAGAACAAACATACCATTTAAGAAAATAAGAAATCACTTCTCAAGTTACAATTTAGTTCAAATAGAATCAGTCCCTGACAATTAATGTGATGGCTAATTTCAGTAAATTAGTTCTAATAATAATCCCTTGCCTTTGTAGCAAATGAAGTGGTAGCTTGCATTTCCCATGCAGCACCCCGCTCCAGCCAGTCCACGTGTGAAGAGGAGGAAGAGGACGTGGGTGGTATTGCTGCCGAGTTTGCCTTTTACAGGTTCAGCTGCTGTCCAAAGGAAATCTGAGCTTGCAGGTTGAAGCAAACAAATGGAGCAATGTGACAGGCAGCTGTTCCCTGGTATAAGTCTTGTAGTGTTAATTAAAACAAATCAGCTCCTGCTGTCTTTCTGCCTCGAGTGTTAAGTTCTTAGTGAAAACCTTGCTTATGCTTCAGAGTTACAAGGATGTACTTGTGCTATCATTGCCTACTTCAGGCAGCTCAAGCAAATCGCTGAAGTATGGGGCCTTTGGGAGTGGAGAAGAAAAAGAAAACATTTCTACTAGCCAAGAAACTGTTAACAAACAGTGAGGCTGTTTGTGGAAGAGCATTTATTATGCTTTGCTACATAATTTAGGTATAGAGACGTCCAGCTTTTATGAAGCAACTAATTAGACTAAGCTGTTAAACCCCTTGATATCACTGTGAAGATCACTTTGCATCTAAAATAACCAAAAAATATCAATATTCTTGACCCAAAATCCTTTTTCAGGTAAAACTTCCTCACTTTTACAAGTTTCTGAATGAAGTAGTCATTTCACAGCATTGAAATTTAAAACTGCTGAAAATGTATGACAGTGAGCAAAACTGAGAAGTGAAATTTGACCAAATAATTTGAATTTGTTTTTATAATATAGCAGCAACATTACAGATTGCATCACCATATTGCAATAGTGCTTAGGTTGCGTATGTTGTAGATAATGTGCAAGTTTGTGAGCATTTTGAGGGTGGGAGGTTTTAGATTACCATAATCTAAGCAAGATGTGTGAGGTAAGGTGTTGGCTTCTAGATGACAAATCTGTTTTTATGATTTCCTGAAATTTACTGACATTGCCAAAGTACTGACTAAAAGCGTATCAGCGTATCCCCCTCCCTGGTCATGGGAGTGACTGTTGCACCGTGTGGGAACTTTGTCTGTTTGTCTGTCTCCGCTGTGGGTTTTGCTCACCACATTTGGAAAGTCATCAGCTGCTAGTGTGTGTTATTTGTATCAAACTTATGAAAGAAGTGAGTGTTAAACCCCAGGTTTTTGTCAAAC